TAAAGGGACCTCAGACTCTTAGTAGAGGTGCATTGAAGTTGGACAATGTTGGTGCACCATGGGAGAGAATAGCCATGGACGTGGCGGGGTCGTTTCCGGAGAGTGAAAGCGGTAACAAGTATTTCATGGTTGTGATGGATTACTTCACTAAGTTGGAACCTTCAACAGTTGCAGATAAACTAGTTCATGAAGTCTTCTGTCGTTTTGGAGTACCTTTAGAGATTCGCAGCGATCAACGAAGGTGTTTTGAGTCTCAAATATTCCAGGAAACTTGCCGAGTTATGGGTACTTATAAAAACAAGAACGACTTCTTATCACCCGCAATCTGATGGAATGGTAGATTTAATCAGACATTGGAGAGGTATCTAGCAAAAATTATAGACAATCGGTAACCAGATTGGGACAAGCACATAGAACCGTTTTTGTTGTCATATCGAAGCGCTGTTCACGAAAGTACATCAGTGACACCAGCTTTCGCAAACTTTGGAAGAGAATTACGGCTGCCCGCAGACCTGATCACCGGGATACCACCTGATGCCCCACGCAGTTAACCGATTATGCAAATGACTTGCGGAACAAAATTAATGACATTTATGAGCACGTCAGACAATCGGGCCAGCAAATGTCCGAAAAGATGAAAACCCGGTATGACCGGGGATCGCCATACTTTTCTTTGCTAATGCGAATTACTGTCGCATGTCCAATGCCAAGAGCATCTGCAACTCTATAACATACGTTTTACATGGGTAATAGCGGCCCGCCATTTTGGTTCTCTCGCTCAAAATATTCCCGTAAGCGAATCACAAACTCACGACTTTGACTGTTCAAAACGGTTTTCTGCGTTCTCTTTGGCATTATGCCAACAAGAAACTAACAATAATAACAAAACTCAACAAATTAATCAATAATAACAGCAGTAGTAACAAAAACAATGTAATGAGAATGGAAAACACGTAGTATATACAAGGCGTCGGCAATCGTACTGAAGAGAATGGAGGTTCATATCAAACAAGATGGCGGCACTTAATAGGTCGGCATGCCCATAAAGTATGACATTGACAGGTACTGTCTGTACTACTAAGAAATTCAGGACTTCTATAGGCGTGATTTTACTGACAGCCGTTACTATGGATAACGCCCCATATCACTCGGTCCAAAAGCACAAACTACCAACTTCGGCAAACAGAAAATTAGAAATCATTGCATGGCTTCAAGAAAAAGGAATAGAGACCAATGAAACTATGCTTAAAAATGAATTATTAAGACTCGTTGGTCTGCACAAACCTAGTACTCCGACGTATGTCTTAGATGATATTGTTACGAGCTTGAGGTTCGTGACAATAAAAACTGCCGATTGAATTACCAAAATTTACACTTTTATTACCGAATACCAATTAAAACTTCAAAAACTAATAATTAATCACACTGATTCACTTTATTTCGCTCCGAAGCTTCGCTTGTCTCGCCAAATTCAATATTGCCCCGATCGCGGCTTGCAGCGGCTTTACGGTGTATTATCTTTTATACCGAAACATCAAGAATATTCCAGTAAATACGGGCACCGACCGACCAGGCGCAGAAAGTTCGAGTGTGGGGCTTCTAGAAAGCTTAATTCTTCTGTTCGATACTAGATGACGCTGTTGGTGGAAAGTTCAAGATTGACATTTTCTAGGAAGCCCTACTCGCTCTGGTCCCCGACAATAGATATACACCCCGGCGCTAGTGACAGGTACCTGACGTCAACTTAGGCGCGCAACACTGCCCCCTCCTAAGACATGCTCGTCCCGAGCATTATCGGCCCCATAATAACGCGCCAGGCGATCCACATGGACGATCTTAGGAGTCCCTCTTGCGCCTTTCTGTATCCGGTAGGCTACATCGTTGATCCTGGTCACAATCCGGTACGGGCCGTCCCATTTATCTTGAAGCTTAAGAGATTTCCCTTTGCTGAGGACTGGATTGTGCAACCACACTAGTGAACCCTTTGTTGTTCATTTTGCGGTCATAACGGGTTTTCATCTTTTCGGACATTTGCTGGCCCGATTGTTTGACGTGCTCATAAATATCATTCATTTTGTTCCGCAAGTCATTTGCATAATCGGTTATACTGCGTGGGGCATCAGGTGGTATCCCGGTGATCAGGTCTGCGGGCAGCCGTAATTCTCTTCCAAAGTTTGCGAAAGCTGGTGTCACTGATGTACTTTCGTGAACAGCGCTTCGATATGACAACAAAAACGGTTGTATGTGCTTATCCCAATCTCGTTGCCGATTGTCTACAACTTTTGCTAGGTACCTCTCCAATGTCTGATTAAATCTACCATTCCATTAGATTGCGGGTGATAAGAAGTCGTTCTTGTTTTATGAGTACCCATAACTCGGCAAATTTCCTGAAATATTTGAGACTCAAAATTCCTTCCTTGATCGCTGTGAATCTCTAAAGGTACTCCAAAACGACAGAAGACTTCATGAACTAGTTTATCTGCAACTGTTGAAGCTTCTTGATTTGGAATGGCGAAGACTTCTGGCCACTTAGTGAAGTAATCCATCACAACCATGAAATACTTGTTACCGCTTTCACTCTCCGGAAACGGCCCCGCCACGTCCATGGCTATTCTCTCCCATGGTGCACCAACATTGTCCAACTTCAATGCACCTCTACTACGAGTCTGAGGTCCGTTTACAGCCGCACAACTTGTACATTTGCGACACCAGTCCTCGACATCGTTTCGACAGTGGACCCAGTAAAAACGTTCTCGGATCTTCAGTAGAGTTCGCTTAACTCCCAGATGGCCTCTTGAACAATCATTATGATACACCTGTAGAACATCCGGTACTTTAGGTTTGGGGACAACCATTGGCAAATGACAGCTGTCTCCTCGAACATTTTCCCATTTACGGCACAGAACTCCATCCTGAAGCAGCAAGCTGTCCCATTGGCCTCAATAGCTTTTAGTGATTGAACTCATCGCTGAGACGTCGCTCCACTTGGGCTTGGGAGCACTGTCCTTCATCCATTGCAGAATCGGCTTGATGTCCGGATCTTCCTGCTGTGCACGTTGTAAGCTGTCCTTCCACTCGTTGCTGAGGTGGTCTGTCCTGAGCATCCTCACGGATACCACTTCCTTACTCTCTTGCCTAGTACAATGTTTGCAATCTTCTGGACAAGGTCGTCTTGACAATGCATCTGCGTTGCCATGAGATTTCGCACTGCAATGTTCGATCTCAAAGTCGTAATCCTGCGGTAGTTTAATCCACCTCGCAACTTGTCCTTCTGGATTTTTAAACTGCAATAGCCATTTTCGTGCAGCATGGTCAGTTCGTAAGTGAAATTTCCGCCCCAGAAGATATTTGCTAAAATGCTGCAACCACTTTACCACAGCTAGCAATTCGCGTCTTGTGACACAATAGTTCCTTTCCGGTTTTGACAACGACTTGCTGAAGTACGCTATCACAACCTCTCGATCACTGTTCCGTTGAGACAACACACCGCCGAGTCCTGTATCACTTGCGTCTGTGTCAACTATAAATTCGTTGCCTGCATCAGGGTACCCTAATAAAGGTGTTTTGCAAAGACGGTCCTTGAGCTCCTGGAATGCGATATCGCAACTTTCGTCCCAGCAGAAATGTCGCTTTTTCTCGGTTAGCTTATGCAGAGGTTTGGCTATATCTGCAAAGTTCTTCACAAATCATCGGTAATGGGAGCACGAACCCAAAAATGCTCTAACCTGCGTCTTATTTTTTGGAACCGGCCAATCCTTGACAGCGGTGATTTTCTCTGGATCCGTGCGGATACCTTCTTCCGATTCGAGATTCTTCGCACCCCTGCCCTATTAAAGCCATTTCCTTCATTCCCTTCATTTTTTGCCTCATGGTGCGAAAACTAGGGGGTGGTATATTTTACGCCGCTACCACACGGCAAGTAGCAGAGTCTGTTATTTTGGATTTGTCGCTCTTTTAGCACATACCGGGGAAACGTATAGGGTGGGTCTAGGATAATGTGGTCGAAGTCTACGGATTCGAGCGACTTATCCTCCCACACAGATAGTAGTAATCATTTAAGTTTACTTATGAAATTGCTAAAATGTATTCGCGCACAATGTACTGGGCCGCCATGTACCGGTAGCTAATATGTGTTTAGTCTCGCTGACAGCTTTATTCGCTTTTTCTTTCTAACACAGGAAAGTACAGTAAGGCGCAGTAGCTCTCTTTTACTCATAAGTCCAATCTATGGAGTTTATACTAAATCTATGGTTGACGGACTGTCGCTTGAATAATGGTTTGAAGTGAATTTCGATTCGTAAAAGTGATGCGATTTTGTGAATTAAGTGTCTGCGCAAGTGAACTATTAGAGAAAACGACGAAACAAGTGCTTTGATGTTGATCTAAACATCAAGTTATTTTGATCGCTTGGGTGCCTTATAAACTTGAGTAGCTGTCGTCATCAACTGTCTGGTGGGATGGGCTGTCGTTAAAATCTCCCAAAAACTTCGCAAAAAATATATAAAATGAAGATTCCGAAAGAAATGTTAGACTCAGAAGGGCTAAAACCCAGAGCCGTAAAGGCAGTTAACAAAAAAAAAGGAAATTTATCTACTATTTTTTGTTGTCACAAATAGTCTGTGGTCACAAACCGACACGAACAAATAAATAACAATTGTACAAAATAAAATGATCGACATATTAAAACGTACTGATACGTAGATAAATTAATAAAATTAATAACATGTGTACATACATACATAGCAAATAATCAATCACTATTATACAAAATAATTTGTCAAATAAAGTTTGAACCAAAGAGTATAAATCGTTATGAATTTACTCATATTATATAAATTATTTTTGAATTGAATTATTTGGTATTGTGTTTTCGAACTCAAATATATATATTTTGTGTGTTCTTTAGTCAATTATTCATTGTGTGAACTTTTTATTTAAAAAAATAGTTATTAATTATATCAGTCCCGGAAACCCGTTAAATCTTAAGTTCTAAAGTTAAAATGAAGATTGTTGGGCGTAGTTTATCACATAAGCGCGTTACTTTTCAATTAGTTAAAAGATTCAAAAGTAGTCTTGGATTATGGGTAAAGGCTAAAATCATATTGAAATTTTTGTTAATCGAAGTATGTGTTGTTACTTCCTTTTTATTTTCAGAATGAGGATATAACAACAAAAATCAAGACAGATATAGAAAAGCATTGGTCTAAGGAAGTACAAAGTAAACACAACTGTGAAGGTAAACCTTATTATGTACTACCAATGTTCCCATACCCTTCTGGAAATTTACACATGGGGCATGTGCGAGTATATTCAATATCTGATACAATTGCAAGGTTCCAAAGAATGAATGGTAATGATGTTATACACCCAATTGGTTGGGATGCTTTTGGTTTACCTGCTGAAAATGCTGCCTTACAGCACAATATCCCTCCACAAGTATGGACAAACACCAATATAAATACAATGAAAAAACAACTTTTAGATTTAGGATTTAACTTTGATTGGGAAAAAGAAATAAGTACATGTGACCCATGTTACTACAAATGGACACAATATATATTTTTAAAGTTATTTGAAAAAGGCTTGGCTTACCAAAGTAAGGTAAGAATTCATTTTTATAGCAATGTGTTCTTATGTATTATTTAATACTAGATTTTCCTAGTGACTTCAATCACATAGAACTTAAAATAAAAAGCCCTGTAAATCTTTAAGTACTATTTTTGAAAGTATGATTCAGTAAGTGCTATGAAATTAATACTTACCTCTGCTGACACTATACTTCAATCAATACCTAAAGAGACAGTAGTAGTACATATAGTAAAATTATTTTGTCCATGTAGTTGGGGTCATAATCATAGCTCGGCCTCAGCCCGACTAGGGCGGTGAGCATGTTGCGCGGCTGCAATACCATTATCAATAACAACAAATGAATCATCGTAGGCATGTACACGGCGGCAGTGCTGTGTACAAAGGGTGGTGCTGATGATTCTTATGTAGAATTTTAATGTAAATAGTTTTGGAATTAATTTTAGATATAAGTTATTATATATATTTATATTTATTATTAATTTAACGTGTTACATTCCAAACATTTGTACTTTAGATACCTAATTAATAATTTATTTTAAATCATTATTATTCTTATTTTAATAAATTTGTCGTTTTATCTTTTTTTCATTTTTATCACTAAATACACTATTGATAATGCTTATCAACAACAATAATGCACATCACTATGCTCGCCCCTAAGGCCCATGAGTGGGAGTGAGAGCGAAATACTCCAATGATTTAACCCTACAAGGCTCAACTTTTTTTCTGTTGTTAATTAAAATATATGATGTTATTAGTAATAAGTACCTGGGAAAAAATAATAAAAAAAATCAAAACCCAATACTTTATACCAGAAAATCAGTTTTTTATTTCAGTTCCATATGTGGTACACTGAGCCTTAACTATATTTTTTTGGCATGGAGCTAGAACTTTTAAATAATTTTAGGAACATGTTACCATTTGAATTATGTTGAAGTGAGACTTAACAAATTAAACATTTAACAAAACATTTAAAACAAAAAAAAAACTTTTTTCAAAGTAGATACGTATTGGTGAAAGTTTCTGAAACAATTAATATCTTTATTGAGGCAGATTTCAACTCGACATTTTTCACATGATATAAATGTTTTTCCTTTGCAACCGGAGTTTTACAGCATTGCCTTTTTTGATCCCAAATTGTTAAATGCTCAAACCCGTCACATCTGACTTCACGAGGGGGTGGGATTGCTGTATTTGGCTTCTTTTTCTTAATTTCAATTTGATCAGGCAAACTTGACGTTCTGCCTCTTCTTGTTGATCCATGGCCCACACATGCAGAGACTTTTTCAAGGCTAAACTTAAAGTCTTTAGCTTTAGTGGGGTTGGTGATTGCTTTTGCTCCCCAACTCTTCTGTACAGTACAGTAATCAGCTATTTATAACAATAGCATCGAGGAGATGATAAAATAGCTTCAAATACCATTTTATCTTTATCGTTATATTTTATTATTTTTATTTTATATTTTCCCAGGAACGAATCCACTCGTCAACAGATAGTACCTCTCGTTTGAAGATACTTAGACATTTTTTTCTGTTAAGTTTCCAATATTGGCCTGATTTTGTGTAAACTATCATATCCTGCTGTACCTGAGGGTGGATGCGCGGCGCTGTCATGAAATGCAGGAGCCAGCTGATTTTTCTTTAATTGTTTAGCGACATTGTCTCCATAATCAGAGGAATACCCAATACAGGTGCCCAATACATTCAAATATTTGGCAATGGTGACAAGCTCATAATCAGACAAATACTTTCAAATTCTATAATTGTGACTGTAAGTTTACGTTTCCAGTAAACTACGAATGTGGTGATTGAAAAGATTTTTTTTCCAAATATAATCCTTTTCTTCCCTTTAATGACAGATGCAGAGCAATGTAGCCTAGTTCTGTTAGCAAAAGCAATAGTCAAAAAGTCGATCATCGGCTCTTTTCACGTGATTGTCTATTGTCAACCTGAATTTCTCGCTAAAGTCACGCCTGAAGTACTAGGTTGAGTGTTTTTTATTTACTGCTCGCTCGCTAAATGAACATCTTCATTAGTGAGAAACAAACGGATATGTCATCTCTGCGGTGATGTTTCTATATCGGTAAGGGTTCAAGAAAAAAATGGTAGACTCAATTTTTTTATGTCTTCATCACTTCCATCTTCAGAAAAGTCTTCGTCATCTTCACTCCCCGACCCAATAAATCTTCAATATCTTCATCACGCAATCGTTTGCTCGACATAAGCAGTAATAAATAAAAGTATTCATAAGTACACTTCTTGCAAGTACGTATTCGTAAAAACGGAGGCTAAAGCTCAATGTACCGTATATGGAACACTGATAAAAATACGATTAATTAATAAATATAATACAGTAATAGAAAAACTAACTTACCTCTGCAAAATAAACAATTTTTTACAATACGCTATATTTTATTCCGGATAAAAACCTTAATGTAACCATATTTTATTATTTATTTAATTTACGCAAACATCAAACGCAAACTTTTGGTATAAATTGGCCATTTACTGAGAGTAATCGGATCAATAACGACATCTACATGCAATTGTTGATGTTATGTCATTGCTAAATTTGCGGTATATCCCTTAAAAACGAGTAGATGTCTCTGCTAGTATTTCATATAGCTGTAGGAACCATAAAAGTGGTTGTCCCGTATGTGGTACTGAGTGCCTTGTAGGGTTAAGACCCAAACTGCACGGACAAAATAATTCTAGTACAGCCGACTCTCATTAATTCGAAACTTAAAGGACTCTTAAAATATTACGAATTATCAAGTGTTTGAAATATCAAATGGTTCGAAATTTTTGAGAGAAATTAAATAAAACATTGAATTGTTAAGTGTTGATCAATTATTATTTATTAACTGCTGTTCTTTAACAAGGACAAAAATTTTAGAGGTACATTCGTGTACATATTCATAATGTGAATTAACTAATCTATCGAAAGAACTCCATTATACTGGTTTGCTTCATAGCACATTGTTGCTGCTTAGACTGCTCAATAACTTTTTTTAAGAGAAAAAGTGCCTGAAATGCTTTTTCACCACTTTTGTTTTGTAGACAGAAGCTTTGTAAGGTATCGAATGAGGCTCTTGCTTCCTAAACTGATACCTCTGCCAAAGGTTCTGATGTATTGTCCTCATCATGAAGATGATTGCTTTTGCTTTTTTCATTCGTATCTGTCACATATAAAATTTCACCATCAATTAGTGAACCTGAGACAGCAACATGTTCATCCACTTGAACAAAGTCAGAAAAACTCACACTGCTGATGTCAACTAGTGGTTCTGTTGTTGGTACTTCATTATACATAATTATTGGAAGATTTTCCTGATCTTCTTTTATGAAACCGGATTTTTTGAAGCAGTTGGGAATCGTTAGGGTTGGTACCGCTCTCCATGCATTGTTAATCAGTAAAATAGATTTCAGAACCGCAATATTTACAGTTGGCTGTTAGTCAAGAGATTCTCAAAAAGAGCACTAGATGTACTTACAACCTTTCTGTCTATTTCTCTCTGCAAGTGTGTGTTAGGGTTTGATGGGGATGAGTTCGAATTAACGCGTCATTTTGTTACGTAGCAATTACTTTTTCGTTCGAATTACCAAGTGCATAAAAATGTATTGATGTAGTTCAAATTATAAAGAGATTTTGTAGGGAACTCGTGATAACTTTGAATTATAGAGAGGTATTAGAGGTATATCGTGGGTTTGAATTAACGAGAGTCGACTGTATAGTAAATTATAATTAGTTATGTCAAAAAATAGGGTTTATATTTTGTTTCATTTGTTATTAACAATTAGAATCACTGGAGGTCCTAAGCAATATGCTAAATGACCTCAATAGTGTCACAGTCACAGTAGTGACCCTCAGGATCACAATAATTGAATAACTTTACAGTAAACTTTTCACAACACACTTTAAAATGTGAACTTGATCGCTCAAATGACCCGATTCAACTAAAAATTAAAGAATTCGTCATGGTGCAATTAAGCGTATGAACTACCCTCTTGAACTTGAGGGTAAACATTTTTTGACATACCTGCATAACAAACATTCATCAGAAACACTTAAAGCTTTTGCTATCGCTAGATAAGCGCTTGGCCAACATTCCGTGCCGCTGAGTGTAACTGTCTGCTCTGTTGAGCATTGTTGCCAACTTCACCCAATTAATGTCTTCCAAGTAACATCAGTGTCTGTTTCTATTCGTTTTACTAGACTGAATGTTCAAAAGCATAAACTTGATGCTGATGAAATTGACTGATCTTCTATTTTTGCTGCGTCTACAGTCAAGGACAAAGTCAAAATCAAAATCTTGAACGGCAATATGCTTAGACTGACAAATATGCTCCCAAATTGTTAGACTTAACCGCTCTTCTGTTCCATAGATAACGGCAAGAGTAAGAGCGACCGATACTAATGGATATGGAAAAACACACCTTGACTTATACTACCAACTCTTTTTCCCTGATGATTACAATTGAAATTTTTCTGATAATTCTAGAGCAAATATTACATCTTCCATGTTTCCTTATTCTAATGACTCTTTATCACAATTCCTCAATGATGACCAGTTACAGAAAACACTTCTGTCCATCAAGTCTCATCATCAATCAGTCTGGTTTCTGCTCTGGGCAGAAAAGCCACCCTTCTTGTATAATCGTATAAATAATATATTAACATTTTTTTATAGAAAAGGGGACAAGCGAGCATGCAGTTCACCTGATGGTAAGTGACTACCGCCGACCATGAACAACCGCAACACCAGGGGAATTGCAGATGCGATGCTGGCCTTTTAAAAAGGAGTAAGCTGTTTTGAAGATCCCTAAGTCGTATCGGTCCGGAAAAATCGCCGGTGGTAAACAATTCCACAGAGAATTTGTAGGATGAAGAAAACTCCTAGTAAAATACACAGTGATGGACCACGAAGCATCCTGATGGTAGATGGTAAGGACGGTATCGTGAATTTTGACACGACGTGCGTTCGTGAAATTTGGCGGTTGGAATTAATCCGA